GCTTCAGCTGTACTCACAGATCAGGATTCAAAAACCACATGATTGACTTGATAGAGGCTTAGATATTGGTGTGGTGGTCAGTGTATGGGATAGGTCAGCATTATGGCTGTCAGAATTGCCTAGATTTAGGGCAGGAGTGCAGTGAGGAGCAAATCGGAACATACCAAAGCAAGTTGCCAATGTCTTTAGCAAATGATGAGATATATCCTGAGAAACGGAAGATAATGGCAATAAGAATGAGGAAACAGGTGTTATAGTCAGATGGCCTCATCTCTGAGAGAGGAGTGGTGCTGGATGGGACATCACTGAGCAAGGGCTTTTAATAGCAATGGAGGAACATGAGAATGCCAAAACAACTATGCTGAAAACAGAGGTCAAATAATACAGACATGTTGGCACATACAAATGTGTATATGGCCAGTGATTAGGTCTCTGTATACTTTTGAGGCTCATTCATAGCTTCTCTCTCTTAGTTATAAGTCAGCTGAGTTTCAGGCTTCTGACATCTGAGCCCAGCCACAAGGAAGTCAGGCTAGGTATGCAGGGCTGAACATGTATTCAGTTAGGAAATATTGATTGAAGGCACAAGGTTTTAGGCATTGTCTACTGGCTGAAGAGTTAAAGAGGAAAAATGTATGGATCCTGCCTTTAAGAAACTCAAGGTTGAATCTTGGGGATATGTATTTGTACTGTAGATTCTCAGTTTTACAAAGATAATGAGAGAAAACTGGAACTTCCCACTGTTAAGTTTCCTTCTTGTGAAACAATTAAGAGTTGGCCATGGTGACAGGGTGGGAGAGCACTAGTGAAGAAAGTCTGAATGTGCTAGTAAAATTTTGGAATTAAAGAAGCAGTTAGACAAATTTTGTTATTTTCAAATAACATGCTATGGCCTTAGACTTACGCATTTTCCAGCAAAGACTCTGGTGAATTTAATTGATAGGATGTGGAATCTGGCTAAGTGAGTCTACTAGCACCAGCTAAAAACACTGCTTACAGTTATGGGTAGAATTTCATGGTGGAACTCCCTACTCTAAGGAGTAGTGTTGTGAAGTATCTTGTATGTACAGGACATATCCTATATTTAATGATTTTGCCCTGCTTCCTATATTGCCTTTTTCAGAACATCCTAAGTGTCCTGTATTCTGTTTTTTGTTTTTTCAGTGAATTACAGAAATTTGGCAGTTAGAGCCATTTGTCAAATTTATCTAGGCATCCTGTACTTTTATTTGCTAGATTTGGTGAGCCACCCAAACCCTACAATCTTCCATGTTTCAGCCTTCTCTGTAGTATCTCTCTTCTAAGGTAAGTGACTATCCAGCCTAACAGGCACTCTTACCTCAGGAGTTTCCCAACACTGAGTGACAATCTGTCTCCCTAAAATTTTTACCTGTGGCCCCAAGCATCCCTCTTTAAGATCATACTGAATAAATGTAATCCTTTACTTTACAGAAGTTCAGATATTGAACTTACTGCATTAGAGGCCACCTCATGTCATAGATTCTTAACAAGCTTTTAATGAGCCCAAACCAGTGGTATGCTGGTAAGATTTGTACCATTTAATTTCTTTGGTGAAAATACTTCTGCTGCATTGGAGCTGCCCAAGTGAAGTTGCTGAACTGAGAGCTGGGAACCGATGTGCACATTTCACTCTTGAGATCTGGATGGGCAGATTGCAGCGTATCAACCCTTACGTGTTTCTTTTTATTAAAATTTTTTGCTGCTTAATCATAGTTCATTCTACCTGAATATTAAGTTGTTACTTGTGTTTTGAGGGAAAGAATTCTACATATATACCACAGGTAGATTGACAAGAGGAGGAAGAGACTATGGAGAATGAAGGAGAGAGTAGGGTAAAAAATAACTCCTAACTTACTAGGTATTGCTGTTCAACAGGCTAGGTAAGAGTAGCTTAAGGGAGAAAAGGTAACAAATATATATATTAATTGGGCAAATATTTATTGAGCACTAGTCCATCCCTGGCACAGACACTTCTAGGTATTGAGGACAGATAGAGCAGAGAACACATCAGATAAAATCCTTGTGGCGCTGATACTTTCTCTTTTTAGAAATGGCCCCTTGAATCACTCTCTGTGGGACTCTCTTTGGAGTCTGAACTTTTTGATGAGTAACTCTTCTTCTTTCCAGCTTCAAGCCATAGGACATTTGATAAATGTCTTTCTAGTGCCTTGGACTACACCATTAAAGTCCTCCATCCAAACTGATTTTTTTTTTTCTTGAGATGAAGTCTCACTCTGTTGCCCAGGGTGGAGTGCAGTGGTGCGATCTCAGCTCACTGCAACCTCCACCTCCTGAATTCAAGCAATTCTCCTGCTTCAACCTCCCAAGTATCTGAGATTACAAGCATGCACCACCACATCCAGCTAATTTTTGTATTTTTAGTATAGATGGGGTTTGGACGTGATGACCAGGCTGGTCTTGAATCCCTCATCTCAGGTGATCTTCCTGTCTCAGTCTCCCAAAGTGTTAGGATTACAGGAGTCATAATCAGATGGCCTCATCTTTGAGGGAGGAGCAATGGATGGGACATCACTGAACAAGGGCTCTTAATAGCAATGGTGGAACATGAGAATGACGAAGCAACTGTGCTGGAAACAGAGGTCAAGGGCTCTTGACCACCGTGCCTGGCCTCAAACTGATTTTACATGGTGCAGTTGCTACCTTCTGCAGAAAGCCTTCCCTGACCTACCTTACTTCCCCACTTCAAATCTGGGTAACTCTTGTTCCCACAGCAACCTGTGTAGTCATAAGACATAGCCCTGGTTTTTCTGTGTTATACAGTATGTATCTCTTTACTTTCCTAGCATATTGTGTACTTCCTGAGGGTGTTTCCTCAGCAAATCCCATTGTAAATAGATGAGGCAGAGCCATCCACAGCTTTTCCTTTATCTGAAGTGGAAAAGTCCAAACTATATTTTCAATGTAAAATGTTCATTGAAGCCAGTCAAATTATTTTGCTTTATATTAACATTTTCCCTCTTGTTATATTAAAACAAAAACCCCAACACAAAGGGAGCTCCTGAAATCTGCCTAGAGGAATTTTATTCTAATTAAACACACACATACGTTTTTCAAAGTTCATTATAAAGGCAATACTTTTGAACTTCCTAATAATGACTTTATTCCCTGTTTTACATTTGGCTCACTGCTAGAAGACAGTTACAAGCGTAGACAATGGATCCAAGGACAAACATTTACTTGGGAAGGAAATAACACAAAGAATCGTATCAATTGATGTCTTTCTCAGTCATTCTGTGACCAATCAGGAGCAGGGACAGCTTTGCTCTAGATTCTGGCGTCCAGTAAAAACCATCTCTAGAAACCATCTCATCTTTATCCATAATGGTAATAGAGCACGGTGTTGTCTAGACGTGTAGATCTGCCACATGGCAAAGCTATAGGACTCTTAAGAATACCATTTGAACATGATTTTTTTTCTTGCAAAGTGAGCAGTTTCAGCAGGACCTGTAAGTTTGCTTAGGTTTTCTGAAGATACCAGCATGAAAGATTTACACATTCCTTTTGTCCTCCTAACAGATTTCATAACCACACTCTTAACATTCCAATAAGTTTTGAACTTGGAGGCACTTAGCACATAATTACATTTTTAATTTTGTTTCAGTCTGATATGTAACACTTCCTTCTTTCCTTTTTGTTAGAGACAGGGTCTCACTATGTTGACCAGGCTGGTGTTCAACACACTAGGCCTAAAGTGATTGTGCTGCCTGAGCCTTCCAAAGTGCAGGGATTACAGGTGTGAGCCACTGTGCCTGGCCTATACTTCCTTTCTTACATCAACTTTATTTTTATTTGTTTATTTATTACTTTTTTGAGACAGGGTCTCGCTCTTTGCCCAGGCTGGAGTACAGTGATACACTCTTGGTTCACTGTAGCCTCCACCTCTGGGGCTCAAGTGATCCTCCTGTCCACCAAATAGTGGGACTACAGGCACACACCACCATGTCCATCTAATTTTTTATATTTTATGTAGATACAAGGTTTCACCATGTTGCTCGGGCTGATCTTGACCTCCTGAGCTCAAGTCATCTGCCTGCCTTGGCCTCCCAAAATGCTGAGATTATAGGCATGAGCCACTATGCCTGTCCTTAAGTCAACTTTAGAGTCTACATCTCTTATCACTGGAGCCTCTAGAAAACTCCATCATGTAGTGCTCTCTTCCCTGATGTGTTGTGACCAAATATCTTGTTCTCATCAGATGACATATTTGCTATGATGTACATACTTCAAGAGCTGCTATATGTATTACGTGCATCAAATCTTTCTGTAAAGTTTGATTACTGTTTCTTTAAAAGGAACATAAATGTTCCAGGACCAAGGGACACAAAAAGGTTTTTCATTTTTAGTTCTGTAGTCTTGTATATTTTAACAGAACTATAAATACACATAGTAGCAGTTTTCCAGTGAAGAACACTTTCCATATGTCTCCATTGTGTCTCCTTTCTTTGCCTCTCCTTGAGAGAATGCTGGAACTGATGGGTAAATTTGCTCATTAGCCTATTCACATCTTTCCTTCCTTGCTTCCACCCTAGATTGTGGGTTTTTTTTTTGAAATCTGTTCCACTTCAGACATTTAAAGAACAGCCTCACCTAATACTGCTCAAGCAAAATCTCAGAGTCCTTAGATAAAAATGGTCCTATGTGGCCAGTCCATGAACTTTGACCTAAGTTTTATCTCTCATTATATTTTGGCACTGATACCCCTTTACATTAACACTGAACAACAACAACAAAATACTGAGCTTAGTTTTATGGCAAGTGGAGGCAGGGCCAGGTGAAGAGGTAGGAATTGCCTGAAGTTGGGGGTCCATAAAACATACAATTATCACCCAAAGCCCATTTTCCTCAAAGTTGGGGATAATGGCCAAAGTACATTCTCAAAGCGTGATCTGCCCTGGGAAAGGGCAGCTAGTCTTTCTGCAGAGATCTCTCTGCACACTAATCTGTACTGTCCTCAGTACCTTGATGGCTGCTTGTTATCATACACTCCGTGGACCAGTCTTGAGGGATCACAGGGGCAACCAGCTCAGCAAACCTCTCCAGAGGACAGCTGGGGCTGCAACCAGGTAGGATTAGGGGATATGGCTCGTGCTGCGTCTCATTCCGATAGTACATCTCCACAAAGTACTCCCTGGCAGAGAAAGGTAGAGGAGAAAGCTCTGTTAGTTCTGTGTTGTTGAACTGCCACTGAATTTCTTTCCACCTGGACTATTACATGCTGGTTGAGGGACTAATAGAAAAACTTAGGGGAACTAGGAGATTTTAGTCAATTTAGGTGTGTAAATGGGGACACTGGGGCAGGCAGGACAGATTTGCAGGGTGGAATGGGAGGGCTGGTTTGTTAGGGATAGGGACATAGGAGGTAGGCACCAGAATGCTAGATCAGAGGAGGTGGTGGGAAGTGATGGTTGCAGGGAGCTGAGTTCCCATAGAACTGAATTATGTTTCAGAAGTGACCACATTTCCAAGACTCCCTTATACCTAGGTGGGACAAAGTCACCAATTTCAACCAACAGAAAGTGAACAGAAATGATGTGTCCCTTTTAGGCTGAAGTAGTTGATAAGCAGGTTGCTGCCTCCACCCTTTCATTCCTTTCTACAAGCTGCCTTCAAGTGAGCACAGCACTCTTGAAACTGTAGGGAATGACCACGTGTGAATCACATCTGTTGACCAAGGACACCTGCACTGTACTGTTAGGTAAGTGTGAAATTAATTTTCACTGAGTTAAGCCTTCAAGAATCTGAGGTTCATCTGTATAGAAGACAAAATTACCCTTATTAGAGAATATCTCTGGGAAACAATTTTTAAAAGACTCAAAATTGGCTTTAGTGTTGAAGACACAAGCTAAAGATGCATACAGAGTTTAGATAAAAACGTTTTATAAAATGTAAAAGTGAAACAAAGCAATATTAATGAATTATTTTATATGGTCTACAATTTTAAATCTCTGTATCTAACCCAAAATTAAATCTTTAAAGAATATTTATGGCTAGGTTTTCTACAACCTGAACAGTTTACATATTTAAGATGGTTGGGAGTCTAAAATATTCTTTCTTTCGGTCTCTCTCCATATCTTCTCATGAGAAAATGTGAGGCCACCTCACAGTCAGGATCACCTCATAAGCAGGCTTAGACAGAATTTGTTAACTTGTAGCCTCCTTGTTTCTAATTTAAAAGCAACCAAGTTTAACCTTTGATATTTCCCTGGAGTGCCAATAAAAGAAATCCTAATATAACAAATTGGAATTAACCTTTACGTGGCCCTTGGTTAATTTTTTCTGTATGTCACTGCCTTTCATTTGAAGAAATACTCCATAGTTGATTTGTAATATAGATTTAACTCAGGGTGTTAAGAGAAGGAATTCAGTGGGAGAAAATGATTCTGTGCAGTAAGAAAGCAAGCTCCAGAACCCTGGGGTCCAGAAACCAGAGAACAGGGAGGTACAAGTAGAGTCAGTAGCTTCTCTTGTCTTATCCCAAAGGAGACAGTGCCTGCCACTGGAGCTGATCCTGGAATTTGGTTGACTATTAACTCTGTGCCCAGAGTTGGCCTTCTGAAGGGCAGACTTGTGCTGGGCTTGTTATTAAGAGAGGGTTTTATGTCTCTAGTCCTTTCATTCCCATTTTCTGCTCTATTTGGTCAATCTCCATTTCGTGGGTCTCGCCTCTCCACTCTGACTCTAGATATTTGACAGCAAGGTTAACTAAGACCACATTTTAGTTCTAGTTCACTGTGCCTGGCACCCAGTTAGAGGTTCAGTAAAGGATGTATCTCCCCTTCCCTAGCTGTGCAGAACTCACTTTCTTTGTAAGCAGTGAAGATATTGGTTGAGAATGAGGTCTCTCTGCTGTTACTTTTTTACTTTACAAATTCAGGGGCCAGAAAGCTACATCCCAGACTACAAAATTTGCAAAATGAAACACAGAGCCCATTGTTAAAAAACTACTACGATTTAAAGATGGCAACAGCAGATCATTAAAACCAGCATGGGCTCCTTTGAGCACAGATCCCCATGTCAGGTTGGTGTGCAGCTATTCTGAATGCCTTGAGAGAAGGGCAAAATAGAGCTCCCTGATCAACCCTGAAACAAACTCTGGGGTCATTGCCTTAACTCAGCCCTTTCTCTGCTCTTATCCCACTAATAATATCCCATGAAGTCTGGCAACCAACTTGTCCCAAATACCTCCTTCTCCTCCTCCCAATGAGAATGCCATTGTCACTGCAGATAAACATTTTTGGCTGTGATAATCAATTCTTTCCAGTTTTTCCAGGACATTCCTGGTTTTAACAATGAAATTCACATGTTCTGAGAACACCAGATTTCATCAGTCAGTTCTGGGTGAACTGGGAATTTGGCCACTCTAGCTTTGACCCTTTTATGGGTTCAAGCTAAGCCGTGGTCATCTGGGGAGGGCCACACTGGGTTACAAAGAGGCAAACACCAGTTAGAAGTTGTACTTTAATAATCTTGACTTGTGTACATGAATCATCAGAAGTTGAATGAATATGCTTGAATTATTTAATTGAAAAAATTATATAACCATCAATAAATTTTTCTCTTGCCAAATATATGTGCAATACATGCATACTTCTTAGAATACCTTAACCTTTTAAAAAATGTAATTTCTGTTGCGTACGCTATTTTTCAAATTTTTCATCTACTGTGTATGTTATTTTCCAATAAGTCTTCATGAAAAAGAAAAAAGAGACATGACTAGCATCCTATTACTATCATTCTTCCCTTTGAATATACCAAATCAAAGACAAACAGGCATACAACCCTTAACCCAAAATAATAATAATGAAACCTAAGGTCCAGTGATACTGGTTTTGAAAGGCACTTCGTCACTTACCCCTTCTCAAAGTACAATTCCATCAAGTGGCAAGAAGCATAGGGAGGAAGGAATCCGTTGTAAGTATCTAGTGCCATCTGTAGGCCACTCACAGTAGTGTCATGCTATAGAGATTTGAAACAAATCATTTTATCACCTGTTCAGATTCACATTCAATAGGTATGAAGCACTTGTAGAGCACCATGATGGCTTCTAATTCAATTACATTTCCCATGCACCCCGCCATGGCTTAATGAGTAGAGAAAGAAATAACTAATTTTGGCTGAGCATCAGCTGTATGCGAGGCAGTATGATTTAGATCTGTATCATTATGTCCATTTAAAAATGAATAAATTGGTCAGGTGTGGTGATTCATGACTGTAATCTCAGCACTTTGGGAGCCTGAGGTGGGTGGATCACTTGAGGTCAGGAGTTTGAGACCAGCATGACCAACATAGTGAAACTCCATCTCTACTTAAAAAAAAAAAAGAAAAAGGTGGGCATGGTGGTGCAGACCTGTAATCCCAGCTACTCTGGAGGCTGAGGCAGGAGAATCCCAGGAGGCAGAGGCTGCAGTGAGCTGAGATGGCACCACTGCACTCAGAGGGCAACAGAGCAAGATTCTATCTGAATAAAATAAAAAAAATTTAAAAAATAATAAAAGATGAAGAAGTTGAGACCCAGGGAAATCAAGCAACTTGCTTAATGTCATATAACCCCAAAATGGAAGAATGTACATTTGAATCAAGTTTCGTTAAGTGCTGTGCCTTTTTGAAATATTTTGAAATACATTGATGCTAGATTATCTTTTTCTATAGATTAGCATCATCTGTGATTTAAAGTTGTGGAAGAATACACGAGGTTTTAGGGAAGATAAAATACCAGGAAGTATAGGGTACAATCTAAAAATAATTGTAAGGCTAAATGTTTACCCCCGTGTGGCTGGAAGGTACAGGGGAGTGGTTTTCAGTCTCCTTTCTGCTACCGATTAGTGATCTAATCTTAGGCAGTCCTCAACTTCCATATCTACAAAATTGGGATAACATTTGGCTGCCCGAACTGTGTGTGCACATATTCAAAAGGGCCTAGAAGTAAACTAATAGAGGAAAAAAAAAGGAGCTATGGATATGACATGCTGGAAATCACACCACAAGTTAAAACTAGAGATCAGATTAACCACTAGAAAAACTGGCAGAATTGACTAATTCCAGGCCTACCTGAGGCTATTTCCCTAGTCCATACCATTTAGGCCTCCTGATAATAGACAAACTTCTCTGTATCTTCAGTCACCTCTTTTACCTTCTTGCATAAATGAAAACATGGCTTTCTTTCTCCAGCCACAGCTGAGAAACATTTTATCATAAAGACATGAGTGAGAGGAGTCATCATGCTATGTCCTGTTTCCCTGCTCATCCCAGACTCCATGGGCAGCTCTTTGAATGTATAATACAATTGTAGAATTTTCCCCCACCACTGTGTCCCTTCCTGCATTCTCCAAGATGAAAGCCCATTCTAAGATCTCTTGCTCTCTTTTATTTCTACTCCAAAATGTAGCTCTAACTTTGAGTTGCAGTCCTTCTTCCCTTTCCTCCTTCTATTCCCTTTGCCATCTGGAGTTTTCTGCTTGGATGCCCCATGGTTTTTCAAACCCATTGTCAAGTCAGTACATTTATCTGGTCCAAGACCACCTCCTTCCTGCCATTGAGAACTGAAAACGTGCCTTCATCTGGGGCTTCACCTTCCCATCATTGCCCTCCACCTACTTCCAATTCATCACTGAGAATGCACACCCAGCTTTTCTTGTAACCCGACTCACCTCTTTTCCTCTTCTCTTGATTCTCTAATTTCAGGTAATTTTTTAGGCCACACCCCCATTTTTCTAGACAATCACAAAAGCTTTCTACACCATATCCTGTTCCCAACATCCAGTCATGCTCCAAAATAATTAATTTCCAAAATGCTGCTCCTATCCTGTTACCCCTGCCCTGCCTTCCCTGAGCAAACACTGGCAGGGGGTTCTCCCTAGCTTCCTTGCTTCTTTCTACGACTAAACAAAGCAACAGGACAAGATGGCCCTACAGCTGCCATCCAGCATAAACTTCTGACACTTTATATAGAGGCTGTCTAAAAACTTTCTGTAATGATGGAATGTTGTATATCTGTGCTGTCTAATTCAGTAGCCACTGACTATGTGTGGCCATTGAACACCTGAAATGTGGCTAACATAACTGAGGGACTTAATTTTTCATTCTACTTAATCATGATGAATTTAAATGTAAATAGCTACTTGTGGTTACTGGGTTCCATATTGAGCAGCACAGTTAGCATCCACTAATTTGGTACCACCTTTTCCAAGCAACATTGCTGACCTTCCACCTCTGTCCTAATAATTCACTTTCTTTGTCCTATACACTAGTGAGGAGCGCTTACTAGCCCCTTTCATCTTGAAGTGTTGGAAGTGCTACCTTGTCCCAGAAGCTTTTCTGTTTCTCTTCTCCACCCTCTCAGAACACAAGGGATGGCTAGCTTCTCTGAGGTGCCAAAGCACTTGGCTGAATGGCATTTCCATCCTGTTTTGTATGATGTTTATATTTGTCTTCTTGTTAGTATTCGATTATAAATCCCTTAAAGGCTGGAATGATGCATTTAATTCTGAAAGCTTTGTGTAAGTGCCTACCACATACAAGGTGATGGGAAAATGAAGATAAAGAAGGTGAGGTCCCATGCTCCAAGAGATCTCACACTTGAACAAATAGATGTTAAATGAAGACAGAAATACTTACTGCAGAATACATGATAAGTTTTTTGTAGTTTGGCATCTCAGTTGCTCTCTTCATGTGATTGAGGATTTCATTGACCAGGACACCTTAAAGGAGATAAATCAATAACCAAGCTGAAGCAAACATAAGCTTCTATTTTGGTCCATTAGCTTTTTGTCAATTCATAGTTGGGCACTCTCCCCACCATGACTTCAGAAGAGGGGCAAAGATCTAATTTTGTTGAGCATCTGCTCTGTGTTAGATGGTGTGATTTACATACTTTTTTCTTTAACTGAATCCTACATCTCAACCCTCATTTATAGGTAAGGAATCTTAAGTTCAGAGATATTAAGTGACTCACACAGCCAGGTAAGGAAAGCTGGATTGGCACACTAGGACTCTACCATATCCGGTTTTGCTAAAGGTCTGGTTAGGAGGCTGATAAGCTTGGATGGAACTTCAGATGGCTTTTTCAGATCATAAAGGAGAATTTTTAGCCCATGTTCTTCTCCAGAGCAGACCTGAAATGACAGCACGGCAGGTACACCTCTGTTTTCACCCCTCTTGCTTCTACTCTCTGGCAGTCAGACCTGAGGGAGGCCATGGGAGAAAGCAGCTCTCTGGATGTTTGTACAGGTCATGGACTATTCTCTGTGGACCATTTCCCCAAGTTACCCTAGATGTCACTACTGGGGAGCCAGCCAGCATCTTTAGCTTTCATTTGAAGTTCTGTCTGTCTTCAGTAGAGGAAATGTTTTGCTCTTCACACTTCACATCTGAACACCTAACTGCTGTTGCTTCTGAGGTGGTGAAAGGCAGATGCAGAGCTTGCGGACTTTATCCTACTTGTAGGCACTGAAGGCAGTAAGGTACCTTGTGGTGCCAAAACAGATCCTGTTTTAAGGACATGTTGCTTCAGAGATGTCTATAACCATCCAGTGTGTCTGTTGGTCTCTTTACCCTGCATGTGCTCTCCTGGCTTTAGAATGACCAGTGCAGGGGGAGGGGGAGAGAGAGAGAGAGAGAGAAAGAGAGAGCGAGAGAGAGAGTGTGTGTGTGTGTGTGTGTGTGTGTATGGTATGTGTGTTTTGTAATGAGCAGGACACTGATATTAATAGATGGACTATAATCTCAGGTTCTATAGTTCACTCAGCAAACACATACTGAGCATCTATGATGGGCCAGATACTATGCTAGGGAATCAGACCTGGTCCCTGCCCTCTAAAAACTCATAACATAGTAAGAAGAGACAGGTCTGTACACCAGTAAGCATAAAAAAGGGTTAATTAAGGAGGTAGGTGATCTGCTTTTTCTGTAGATGCTGGAATTTCCTTGAGGATGAACAGAAAAATCTGATGTACATGTCTAACAGGTCTAAATCCCTTCATCTCAGAGAAGGTTGCCCTGTGGAATGCATTAGGGACTTTAGCTTGATTAGCATGCCATGTTGGTGCTAAACTCTGTGGCCAAGCTCTTGGGAGCCATGACAGACAACGACAATCAGCAACTTGCCCTTTGTCAACAAGTGCCTTTTGTTCAGGCTGCAGTTCTGGTAATGAATATATCAATTCTTGATTCTGGGATGATTACCCCCTTATCGCAGGATTGATTAGGGGTGACTATCATGATTCTCCTCAGGCTCTGGCATACCAATATCCTGAGGCTCTGAGGGGCTCAGCAACTTAATCAGATTATACAACTTGTAAGCAGATAAGGAGGGCTTTAAATCTAGCATGTCCTGCTTCAAAACCCTTATTTGTAAACATTAGACCACACTATAGTGGAAAGCTAGCCTTGAAGTTATGTGTTGTATCCTTTATTAAATCTTCATAAACTAGACAACATATCATTGATCTGAAGATATAAACTTTGCTTCCTTCACTTCTAGTCTACAGCAGAGGTTGGCAAACTTTTTCTGTAAAAGACCAGAGAGTAAATGTCTTAGGCTTTGTGGGTTATAAAATCTCTTGCAGCTACTCAACTCTGCGGTGATAGTGTGAAAGCAGCAATGGACAATACAGAAATGAATGAGTGTGGCTGTATTTCAATAAAACTTTATTTACAAAACCAGGTAGTGGGCTGGATTTGGCATACAGGCAGTAGTTTGTCAACCTCCGGCCTAGAGCGAAAAGAGCTCTCTTTTCACTGACATAACCAGCCATATGGTCCTAAATTTGCCTCAGGGACTTTTTTAGAGTGGGGTGTGTGTGTGTGTGTGTGTGTGTGTGTGTGTTACTGAACAGTGTCATCCCTGAAGTTAAATGATGAAATAAAAATTCCAGACTGGGAATACTAGTTCATGCCTGTAATGCTGGCACTTTGGGAGGCCAAGGTGGGAGGATCGCTTGAACCCAGAAGTTTAAGACTAGCCTGGGCAACATAGGAAGACTCTGTCTTTGCAAAAAATTAAAGAAAAATTTAGCTGGGCATGGTGGTACACGCCTATAGTCCCAGCTATTTGGGAGGCTGAGGTGGGAGGATTGCTTGAGCCTGGTAGGTCAAGGCTACAGTGAGCCATCATCATGCCGCTGCAAGCCTGGAGGACAGAGCGAGACCCTGTCTCAAAAACAAGCATACAAACAAACAAACAAAAAATAGAAAGAAACAAAAACAAAACAAACTGACAAAGAAAACCTGCAAAGGTCAGAAGATGGCCCCGATGTTTCCACACCAGTCTTTGTCACCCAGACAATGTGGGTTCTCTGTGCAGGACTGTGTTCAGCTGTGTCATCATTCAGCAAGCATGTAGCTGACAAATCTCTTTTGCCTAGCCAGATCCGAACAATAGTCTGAGCTTGTGTTTTGGCAGGACCACACAGGAAAAAATGTGCTGCTTAACAATGGCGCTGGACTTTTTCCAGAAAGTAGGACAGCTGGTTTCATACAAGTGCCAGCCTTTAGAATCCAAGATCAGAGAACATCTCAGAGAAGGACTCTTACAGAGTCTAGTTTAATCTCCTCATCGGGGAGTAAAACAGAGATCCAGAGAGGGAAAGTGGCTTCTCTCAAATGTAATCTTCTGGTAGCCAAAGGGGAATAAAAGAAGAAACAAGAGGAAAATGGAGCAATTTCATTTCTTATTCATATATACACATCCCTACATCTAGTATTAGACTACTGTCAACTCTCATCTGGCATAAAGCTTCTTGGGAATTTATTCCAATGCAGATCCTGATTCAACTCACTTGGGGGTGGGGCCTGAGGTTCTATATTTCTAGTCAGGTGGTAGTTGATGCCGATGCTGCAAAGTAGGCTGCACTTTGAGTCGTAAGGGGCTAGATGCCTGATTCCACCATAACCAGGTTGGGGGATATAAATCAAGAGTCCACTTCCACCATCTGATGGGGCTTGGGACTGAGTTACACTGCTGGCACCTGGTGGGCTCGAAATGAGGCTGAGTGCTTATGTGGCTTCCAAGGCACACCCTCTACATCTTTTGTTGTTACGATTGAGCTTCTTCCTGGGTTCTGCCCATACACACAACCAGTATCCTGCCTGGTAATTTTTTCCAACACTCCATGTTCCATCTAAGACTCCTCTCTGGAGCCTCTCCCTTCCTCAAGGGCTAGATCTCATTGCTCCTGTGTTTAATGTGAAGTAAGGACTTACACATTTCTACCATGTCTGTCTCTGTGCCATACAATCAGGATTTCTGCAATAGCAGGTCCATAACATCCTCATGTCATTAATGGCTACTGTCTTAAATTTTTTGCCCCCACCTACTTTATTCATCTCCATGAATGCTTCTTTACCATGAATACATCTTTATTCATCTACACGAATTTGCTCCTGACCATCCTGGTTTCATACCTAATTCTCTGGTTACAGCTTGCCTCACTCTTTGTACCTGCTGTGCGGCCCTGCTTTTCTAGCTATAATTGACTCCTTTACTGGTCAGTGATTTGAATTCTTTCCCTAGTTAAGTAGCCTTAGTGAATATTCTCCCAGTTTGGTCCAGGCCTAGTAGGCTTTACCTCTATGCATTCTCAGGATTTTGATGAATTTGTTCTGATACTGTGATGAATAGTATCTGGTTTGGCAGATACTATAATGGCAGGAATCATGATGCGATTGTATTAATCTCAAAATGCATAGAGTCTGTGTGTTAACCTGACTTGGACCATCTCAGGGTTTTAGGAAAACAGGCCACTTTTATACTTCACACTTGAGAGATTCTCCTATGGGCCACAAGACACAGTTGATTTTCATGGGGCTCAGACATAGATCCTTGATTCTTTGATCTCGAAGGGATGGAAAGGATCATTTAGCTTTAGCTTTCATTTTCCAGATAGAAAACTAAGGGCTCAAGTGAGTAATAGTCATCATTATAATAACATATGATGTTTATTGACAGTGTATTATATACCAGGTGCTGTTTGTTCTAAGTCCTTTGAATACATACGTTTATTATAATCCTCACTGCATATGAAGTAGGAATCATTAATATCCCCATTTTGCAGAATGGAAGCTGGTACAAGAGTGATTAAGTGAACTGCCTGAGGTCACACAGTTGTTGAGTGGAGGGACTGGGACTTAGACCCGGATCATTCAACCACAAATCCAATATACTCCTCTCATTTTTTAATACTTACCCCCCTGGAGCCTGGATTTCTCTTTCTGCTTGTGAATTCCATAGAGGGACAGGAGGGACAATTCTGACAATTCTTTCAACTTAGTCATGGTGTCCTTAGTGGCCCAGGAGGGTAAAGTGAAATTGTGAACACTCTGTAGGAAAGAAAAAGGAAGAAAAATGTATGTGTAGTTTTGCTTATGACTGTCCTCTTTGTTGACTTATTTTATCCTTTCTCACCTCACAAGAACTAGTAGGGCTAGACTTTCTTGTCCTGCCATTTCTTTCTAAGAGAATTTCATATTATGATAAGTAGTGGTATTGCCTTTCAGAAGAGAAGCTTATATAAATTAATTTGCCCTCTCCTACCCAGTCCATAGCTTTTGGTTTAACTCTGGATAAGTGGGTGGCTCATATTTTGTAGAGTTAGGGTGCAGTATGGAAATAATATCTCATTCCTTTATAAAAGGGTTAGAAATATTTCTATGAACCTGACAGAGTTAAATGTTTTCTTAAAAGCTGAATGAGCTGCCAGGCACGGTGGCTCATGCCTGTAATCCCAACGCTTTGGGAGACTGAGGCAGGCAGATCGCAAGGTCAGGGAATCAAGACCATCCTGGCTAACACAGTGAAATCCCGTCTCTACTAAAAATACAAAAAATTAGCCCGGTGTGGTGGCGTGTGTGTGTAGTCCCAGCTACTTGGGAGGCTGAGGCATTGAGAATCACTTGAACCCAGGAGGCAGAAGTTGCAGTAAGCTGAGATTGCACCACTGCCACTGCATTCCAGCCTAGGCGACAGAGCAAGACTCCGTCCTTCCAAAAAAGGTGAATGAGGTGCCTGAGAGGCCAGTTAGGAAAGGCAATATATTTCTGGAGCCTTCAGTAATATATTCCCTCCTACCCCCATCAGAGTCTAGTTTTCTGACTTTTTTTTTTTTCAGAGACAGGGTCTTGCTCTGTCACCAAGGCTGGAATGCAGTAACCATACAGCTCACTGTAACTTCTAACTTCAGGGCTCAAGCAATCCTCCCACTTCAGCCTCCTGAGTAGTTGGGACTACAGGCGCATGCCACCACAAGTGGCTAAATTTTTTTTTTTTTGAGAGAGTCTTGCTCTGTTGCCCAGGCTGGAGTGCAGTGGCATGATTTCTGCTCACTGCAACCTCCGCCTTCTGGGTTCAAGTGATTCTCCTGCCTCAGCCTCTCGAGTAGCTGCGATTACAGGCATGGGCCACCACACCTGGCTAATTTTTGTATTTTTAGTACAGATGGGGTTTCATCATGTTGGCCAGGCTGGTCTGGAACTCCTGAGCTCAGGCAATCCATCCGCCTCAGCCTCCCAAAGTGCTGGGATTATAGGCATGAGCCACCGCACCTGGCCACACGTGGCTAATTTTTAAGTGTTTTGTAGAGGCAGGGCCTTGTTATGCTGCCCAGGCCCATCTTGAGCTTGTAGCCTCAATGATCTTCCAGTCTCAGCCTCCCAAAAGTGCTGGGATTACAGGCAGGAGCCTCCACACCTGGCTGTAGTTCACTAACTCTTGACGAAAGCCTGCACCTTACACAGAGTAGGTACTTGGTAAATATGTGTTAAATTAATGTATAAGTACAAACAGGGCAGGTAGAGACCTTGTGCCAATATTTATTACCCATTAGGAAGAGTCGATTAGGAGTCCCCCAGTTTCAAGGGCAGGATCAAGAGAGAGAGAAAGTGAGTTCGTTAAAGAGGAGACCAGAGTGAAGTGACCTACAGAGGAAATAAGTGAGAGAGATTTAGAAAAGAGATCACATAATATGGCCACGTTTTGGAATATCTCAGTTCAAACTGTGTCAAGAAAGAAAAAAAATCAAGACTGGAATAAAAATGTGGGCTCTTGTTTTAACTGAAGAGTCTTTTGCAAGGCCAGTGAATTTTCACTGAAATAGATACTGATGATAAAGTGAAAATATGGGAAAGTAGCATGTGATTGGGTCAATTAACTCTAGGATGGATGGAGGCAAACTGTGTCATCTGTTATTAAGATAGAACTATGGAATTGATTGCTGCCCCCTAGACTCTTATGATGACCTCAAAGTTAGAAGTCAATAAGAACTAGGTGGGTGGGTAGTAACAATCTTGCCCAGTATTTAGTGAACTAGTTGGGAAAACAGGAATAGAGAGTACTCCTTTTGGCCAGAAGGTGGAGCATAGTGATTGAAAAACACCGTGTAACCTTGAAAAACAATCATAATTTATCTGGCCACAAAGGATACTTAAAATGCATTGCAAAGCAAGAAAGAAATTCTTTCTTGATAAGCAAATACAAATAGACTGGCTTGTAGTTTGCGTGTTTATTTCTACATTCAGAAATCAGGTAATTTCCGCCCTTCCTCCCTCCCTCCCTCCCTCCCTCCCTCCCTCCCTTCCTTCCTTCCTCCCTCCCTCCCTCCCTCCCTTCCTTTCTTCATTTCATTAATTCATTTGTTTATTTAGAGACAGAGTCTCGCTCTGTTGCCCAGGCTGGAGTGCAGTGGCACGATCTCTGCTCACCGCAACCTCCACCTCCCGGGTTCAAGGGATTCTCCTGTCTTAGCCTCCTAAGTATCTGGGACTACAGGTGCCTACCACCATGCCTGGCTAATGTTTGTCTTTTTAGTAGAGATGTGGTTTCACCATGTTGGCTAGGCTGATCTTGAACTCCTGACCCTGCGATCCGCCCGCCTTGGCCTCCCAAAGTGCTAGGATTACTGGCATAAGCCACTGCACTCAGCCTCCCCCATCTTTCTTTATAACAACATTGCCTGTTCATTAAGACCCAGGACAGGAACCCAGCATTTTTGAGTGGCTGCAAAATAAATAAGCTCCTACTGAATCCAAGGGGGGAAAAAAACCAAAGTGGAAACTCATAGAAGAAAAGCACTTTTGCTTGTACTTTTCTAAAGGACGCAAACATAAATAATACTAGAGAGAAAAGAGAAGTCAGGAATTTTAAGTTAATATAAGAAAGTTGTGAATTATGTTTCAATGTCAAAAGAAGCATAAATAATACATTCATAAGAAGTAGAACAAAAGATACTCATCTGTTTCAAAATCAGCATCAATCATAAAATCAGATCGCAAGTTAACCTTTGATTTTTTTGTCTTTTACCTCACAATACAAAGGGTCGTAGACTTTACTCCAAATTCCAAAAAGGTCCTGGCCATGGAATCCTGAAAGTTTTGGCAAGGTAGCTATAAAATCCTGAAACACAAACAGAGAAAGGAAAATTCCTACACAGGTTTCTCAGATTCAGCACTATTGATATTTTGGGCTGGACAATTCTTTGTTGTGGGGAGTTGTCCTGTACATTACAGGTTGTTTCACAGTATCCTGGCCTCTATCCACTAGATGCCAATGGCACTCCTAATCTCCCACTTGTGCAACCCAGACTGTCTCCAGACATTGACAAATGTTCCCTGTGAGGCAAATGTGCCCCTGTTAAGAAACGCTGTTCTTCACAGAAAAATGCACCAGTAATACTGGTTAAGACGATGCCGTTCCAAAGAATTTTACAAACACGAATTGATTATTCCTTATTATTACTTTTAAAATGTAGATAGATGCTGGCTGACTGCCACATGTTCCTGGTTTGTGCTGGAATTGAAGTGTACTGCCTCAGATTCTTTTTAGAAGTGGGTAAAGTGTAACTCACATGTAAATACCTCCAGGTGACAAAGGCATATTTCAGGCCAATGCATCCAGGAAAATTCAACAGAAATAGGACTTGGTCTTTGGCTATACATATAAAAATTGGATGGAATGCAAATCTTTTGCTAGGTTCTGTATGATTCTTGGATTGTCGCAATAATGAGACCCAATGTTCGGCTATCTGACTGCTGAAATTGGCAGCCATTTCTGGAAATCCTGTTGGAAGATATTGTCTGTCTGATGGATGAAATTGCTAGGGAACTACAATTTGCCAATATTAATCCCAATAGATTTTCATAAAATAAATAGTAATTATTATTATAGAGCTCCTATTGCCATTTCCTCAAACATAAAAGCTCCAGGGCTACATGACTATCACAGAGGAATTCTACCAGGCTTTTCAAAAGTGAATTATTCTAATGTCATTTCAACTGTTCTGGAGCATAGAAGATGAAAGAAAACTTTCAAAAACTTCTTATGAACTAAGTGTAACATTGATACTGACAAAGATTGCCCCTAAAATAAAACTATTAGTTCAATGCCACTTGTAAATATCAATGGGAAAGTCCTAAGTAAAATAATAGGAAGTAAATTCAATGTCACATAAAAGGAAATGGGTTTGATTTGAGAAATGTAAAGATTGTTCAATAACGGTAAATCTATGAATGTAATCAATCATTGTAATTGATCCAAGGAGAAAAATAATTTTATTATATTTGAAAATGTTAAAATAATCATTCAGGAGATTAAACAACCTATATTGATTAAAAAAACCACTCAAGAAAATAAGAAAGGTGGGTATTTCCTTAACTTGATAAAAATATATCTATTTTGGTTCAAAAGCCAGTATGCTTATTAGGAAAACTCCTCTGAAATCAGAAATAAGACAAGAATACCCACTACCAACACTGCCCATAACATTATACTGTAAGCAGAGGGCAATGCACATAGGCCAAAGAAAGAAATTAGAGGCACACAGTTTTGAAAACTGGAGATACACCATTATTATTTGCGGATACTATCAACCTGAAACAGACTTAATAAAAATGTAAAGACATATATGAAGAAAATCCTAAAATAATCTTTAAAATAAAACAAGTAGGAATATGTACCATATTCTTAGAAAGGAAGATTTGACAGTATAAAGTTGCAAATTCTCCCTAAGTTAAATGAATTTAATATGATCCTAATGAAAATACTAAAAATTAAAAAATACTTTTGGAACTAGACAAGCTGACTCTAAAGTTCACAAAGAAAATTAAAACATAGTTATGGAAGCTCAGAAAAAGTAGAGCAATGACGGATGACTAGCCCTTTAGATATTAAAGCATATTATAAAGTCTTAATTAAAACCCAAATTTTGGCTAATAAATTAAACAGAATAAAAATCACATAAGTAGACCCCACACATATGGGGATTTTAATATATAATAGCTTAAATAAATGGGAAATATGAACTATTCAGTAAATAATGATGGGGCAATTAGATAATATTCTGGGAAAAAAATTAAGCAGGATACATACTTCATACTTCCTACCAGTATGAACTGTAAATGAATTCAATATATAAATGTGGAAATGAAGCTAGAGTGGAATTAGAAGAAAGAATTACAGACTTCTTTATAACCTAGGGTAGGGAAAGCTTTTCTAAATATTACTCAAAATATAGGAGCCATATAAGAATAAATTGATACAGAACCTATATTGCAAGAACACAGTAAGCAAAGTCAATAGAACATTTTTTTAATGCCATTCATTATCTGTGATATTGTGATATATATATTTGGTGTTCATCTCCATTTTCTGCCATACAACTCCTAAAATCCTTAGAGTCTCCAAAGTATGGATTTTTGCCTGCTAATAACTGATTGATGGCTGGCAGTCCCTGGCCAGCTTCAAGATGAGGGCTGGTCACCAGAAAGCCAAGGCCAGGATTAGAGGGTTGGGACTTTCCCTCCTACTTCAGAACCTCTGGGGAGGAGAGGGAGTTAAAAGTTAAGTTGATAGCCAATAGCCTCTGTCTTAATCAATCATGGCTATGCAATGAAATCTCCATATAAAGGCCAAAGGACAGGGTTCAGAGAGCCTTCAGACAGCTGAACACATAGAGATTCCTGGAATGTGGTGGTCTCGAAGAAGTCAGGCAAGCTCCCTGTAATATCCTTTGTAATAAACCTGTAACTGTGTTTCCCCGAGTTCTATGGGCTGCCCCTGCAAAATTAATCGAACCCAAAGAGGAAGTTGTGAGAACCCCCAACTTAAAGCCAGTCTGCCAGAAGTTTGGAGGTCTGGACTTGCGTCTAGTGTCTGAGGTGGCAGATTGGGGGTGGCCAGTTTAGGGGCCTGAGCCCTCAACCTGTGGGATCTGATGCTGTTTCCAGATAGATGGGGTCAAAACTGAATTGGAGGACAGCCAGCTGGTGTGCACTACGGAACTAGCTGCCTGTTAGTGGGAAGAAATCCCCCATATTTGGTCACAGAAGTCTTCTGTTTGTGTTGATTGGTGTTGAACGAAAAAAATAGGAAAAAGCATGTTGAGTATGTTTTTCACACACAAAATATCACAGACAGAAATGTTAAAATATATATAAAAAGCTTCTAAAAACTTATAGTAAAAGGAAAATCAATCATCTAAAAGAAAAATAGTCAAGGGATATTGATATAAAAGGAAATACAAATGGCATTTAACTGAGGAGAACACATGGACATATAGAGGGGAACAGCACACACTGGGGCCTCTGAGAGGGTGGAGGGTGGGAGGAGGGAAAGGGTCAGGAAAAATAATCAGTGGGTACTAGGCTTAATACCTGGGTGATGAAATAATCTGAACAACAAACCCCTGTGACACAGTTCACCTATATAACAAAGCTGTGCTTGTACCTCAAACTTAAAATAAAAGTTAAAAAAGGAATAACCCCCCCAAAAAAAACAAAAAATGGCATTTAACTAGAAGATACTCAAATTCACTCATCACAAGAAAAAGTACTATAGTATAATGTTGCATAATAGTTATGATAGTGAGCTTCCTTGTCTTATTCCTAATTTTAGAGGGATGCTTCTAGTAATATCATTTTCCACTTATCAGATTTGCAAAAATCCCCAGAGTGGTCCACATACTGTTGGTAAGGTTGTGGAGAAATGGGCACTTGCATGCAGTGCTGATATAAGTAGAAAGTAGTAAAATCTCTTTGGAAGATAACTTAATATTTCAAATTGGCCCAAATGTCTACTTCTGGGATATTATCCCACAAGTATTCTTTTTTTTTGAGATGGAGTTTCGCTCTTGTTACCCAGGCTGGAGTGCAATGGCGCGATCTCGGCTCACCGCAACCTCTGCCTCCTGGGTTCAGGCAATTCTCCTGCCTCAGCCTCCTGAGTAGCTGGGATTGCAGGCACGCACCACTATGCCCAGCTAAGTTTTTGTATTTTTAGTAGAGACAAGGTTTCACCATGTTGACCAGGATGGTCTCGATCTCTTGACCTTGTAATCCACCTGCCTGGGCCTCCCAAAGCGCTGGGATTACAGGCTTGAGCCACCGCGCCCGGCACCACAAGTATTCTTGTGAAACTATTTAGATGCACAAGGTATTCATATATGCTCTTTGTAAAAATGAAAGATTGAAATATGACCCATATTTCTATCAATAGGAGATGGTTAAATAAATTATGCCATAAATATAAATATTACACATTTGTTAAAAAAAGGAAAAGAAAGAAAAGGAGGAAACTCTTTGCATATAGACATAGAAATATTTCCAAGATATTTTGTTAAATGGAAAAAAACAAAACAAATCCAAGGTGCTCAACCCTATGAATAGTATACCACTTTCATGTAACAAAAGGAAAAACTATCAGAATATATTTCTGTGTTTGTATATGCATAAGAAAATTGGAAGACTACATAAGAAAATAATGCTAGTGGTTTCCTGTGGGGCCATGGAGACTTCCACTGTATTGCTTTTTGTATTTTCTAATTTTTGGACAGTATGAATGTATTATTCATTGAAAAGATTATTTTAAAAAGTACACAGCATTTTATCTATCTTTCGTATTGTGCTCAAAATGGGTATTTTGCAAAATAGAAACATAGAAACAAAAGAGACTGTCCTTTGTATATGAAGACAATAGTCCCAGCCCCTCAACCTGAATAAGGCAAGTGATTTTAGATTTGTATTTGTTCTTATCCAAATACAGTTCCTTTCAAGACACTGGGTAAAGGATTCAAAAGGACTGGCTTGTCTATTGGTTTGTGAACCCTGTACAGGGAGTGAAAGCCAGAAGTGATGACTTCCCTCATTAAATATTCTAACCCATTGCTATAACCAGCCACTGACAGATGCATTCATCCCATACTTTTCAGAAGCCAAAGCTTCATCTTGTGTCTTGGCCCTCATGCTCAAGTACACCACTAAACAAAACTAGCTTTTAACCTTGTAAGGGTGCAGCCTCTTCTGAAATTCTTCCGATTTCAAAGTCTCATTCTCAAGTTCTTGAAAACGAGGGCAGTTCCTGAAAGGCAGGTATAGCAACTGAGGAAAGAGAAAAATCATAAAACCTTTATGAGTCAGAAGAACTTTGCTAAAGATGCTGCAGCAATATTTTAAGCCTCATTAGGTCCAAAGCAACCTTAATAAAAGATTCACATGTGTTTGAGACGAGTGGAAATTCCAAAATTGAGGAAAAAGAATGAAATGATCTGTAGGTCTTAAAATAGTAGGATATGTATTCAGAACTGAAAATCCTTTTTTTTCCTTTCATAAACTTGCCGTAATAGGACTGTGCTGTTGGTAAATATTTACACTTCTCTTCTCGACCTTCCGTGCGAATAACTGTTATCTTACTTTCTTCCCAATCCCTTTCATTTCTTGCACTAAGTGCGTATCTGAACACATGCACACCACCTTCCCCGCAACACATATACATATGGGGAAATGAATTTGATTCTGGAAAAAATCTTAAGTCAATTAACTACTCATTGACTTCAGTTTTTGCAAATTTGCAGACTGTTAAAATAAGAGTACATGTTAAATACTTAGAAAAACATACTTCAAAAACCTATGGTGAGGACAAAGTTGTCGTCCTAGAATTAGTGCAAATTTGACAGTGTTTTGTAATTTAAACTATAAGCCACAGGTTTGCGGCTCTCAAGTTTATTTTGTTGCCCTTACTTTCCATCTGTGGCTAGTCCTGTATTTCTAGCCCTTGGTAGAAGTACAGGCAAACTATTGTCAGGCCAGTGCCTGAAAGTACCACTTAATCACATGCACATAACAGTGAAGAATGTATACAGGTTTCTTTTATGTCCATTGCTTTAAGTCTAAATTTGCATGCATGGCATTCAAATGTTTCCGTAGGAGAAATTACACTGTTGAGAGAAAAAGCACAAGACTGGCCTGGATTCATTACAGGCCTGGATTTTAATTAATTTGGATGTTTCTCTTTTTCCTTAAATTTTACATGTATAGGGCTAAACTTGGATGTGTTACAAGAGCATTCTGCCTGTCCCTGAAGCCACAGGCTTAGGATCTCTGCATAAAACTGTTCCCTGCCTTGAACACTCCCCGAATGACTTCTGCTCCTCATCTAGCCATCGTTCTCCAACTATATCTTTATGACGAATTCAACTTCATTTTTAACCCTTCCCTCTTTGTAATTTTCCCTGCTTTTGCCAATGACAGAATGTATCAACCTACTTCATAATCACTTTATCTTCATGGTCCCCTCCCAGTCCTGGCCACCATAACTTGTGTTTCAGCTCCTGTGAGAGCTTTTCATTTGGTAAATCAGCATTCACTCTTTCAACCATCCTAATTCATTCTTCACACAGCAGTTACACTAATATCTTTTATTATTATTATTTTTTAAGCATAACTCTTTTTAAAGTATCAATCACATCATGTCATTTTGTAGTTCATGACCTTCATTGGCTTTCCATTTTACCTAAAATTAAATCCAAACTCACTACCACACAGACCACATCAAGAGTCTGCATGAGTTGGCCTCTAGGAACTGCACTGCCCTCCTCTCCTGTTACTGTCCCTTGTCACTCCTCTCCGGCAGCACTGTGGGCCTTTTTGCTGTCCCTGAAGGCACTGGCTTAAGAGCTCTGCATTAACTGTTTCCTGCCTTGAACACTCCCTAATTGACTTCAACCCCTCTTCTAGCCACCTGCACCAGGCTCTAAGATATTAACCTGTTTCATTTATTTCCAGGAACTCATCACCATGTGGCATTATTTTATTTACTTTTTTTTTTGAGATGGAGTCTTGCTCTGCTGCCCAGGCTGGAGTGTATTGGTGTGATCTCGACTCACTGCAACCTCCACCTCCTGGGTTCGAGCAGTTCTCCTGCCTCAGCCTCCTGAGTAGCTGGGACTACAGGCATGCACCACCCCCAGCTAATTTTTGTATTTTTAGTAAAGACCGGGTTTCACCATGTTGGCCAGGGTGGTCTTGATCTCTTGACCTCATGATCCACGAGCCTCAGCCTCCCCAAACTGCTGGGATTACATGCATGAGCCACCGTGCCCGGCTGCATTTACTTCTTTATCATCTATTTCCTATAAAATGTAAACTTGATGAGAGTCAGGATCGTGTCTGTCCTGTTCACTGCTGGTTTGTCAGTGCCCAGCCCAGCCATCTTGGTAGCTACTCGGAAAACACTTATTTTAAAAAGTTGTTTCCTGTCCATCATTTCTGATTCTGTGTGGCACCTTGTCTTACCTTGCTTCTCTTCCTCTAACATCTTTTACCATCTCATTTCAGGCCTCATTTCTTAATTCCCAAATTGCTTCAATAGTTATTCTCTGAGGCTCCAGTGTCTTTTTCTTCCAAGCTATTGTCAGGCAGGTGCCCAAGAGTACCAATCACCACATGTGCATAATACTGAAGAATGTATACAGGTTTCTCTCATGTCTATTGCTTTAAGTCTAAATTTGCATGCGTGGCTTTCAAATTTTTTCATAGGAGGAATTATATTGTTGAGAGAAAAAGCACACGACTGTTCATTAAAGGCCTAGATTTTAATTAATTACTTTCTGGATGTTAATTTTCTCTTCCAAAAATTGAGTCAGGCTGAAAATAAACAGAATAATCACCAAGACATCTGTCTAGAATTTTGCAGTTTACAGTGTGTTTTCCATATATATGTTTTTTAACTAACTTGATTCTTACAAATCCCTAAGAAGAAGTTAGGCGGGTGCTGTTTTCCCATTTTCCAGAAAGGAAACTGAGGTTTAGAGAGGTTACTCAAGCTCATATAACTGAAGTGGCAGTTGGCTCTCAGACTTAGGTTTTCCAACTTCAAATCCAGCCCTTCTTCTAACGTCACACTGCCTTTCAACTCAAGATTCCTTCTGGCTATTAAATTTAGATTAGACTCTAATCTTTGTCCAATATAATTCAATATAATCAATTTTATTTTCCTTCTCTTTCTAAATAGGAACTTGGGGCACAGAAGAACAAGTATCTACATATTCACTCACAGCCATGTTTTTGTGCTGCCATCCTCTCCTTTCCTCCCTTTGCTCTGAGGTCTGGTTCAAGTTCTCACTCTCTTATGAAGACCTGAATGACTGTCCTATGGTAACTGCATGTATGTCTCATTCTCTGACTTCACCCAGCATATGTGGCTTGTACTTGAAATTATTGCCTGCTGTCTTATAATATCTTCTACACATTTTGCACATGCTAATTTGTTTTCATCAAATAAATTATAAATTAGAAAAACTTGACCTCATATTGCTCTACAGCATTCAGCACAGCTAAATGCTGGGAGTAAGCTAGTGTTGATTAGTTTCATTAGATTTCTTAGTTGATATGAGAGAATTTTTTTGACCTTAGTGAATCAGATAGATGGAAGCCATAGGTAGATAATGTTCCCTGCTTCCCTCTTTCTCTCCCTCCATCACCCTGTTTCTTTCCTTCTCTTCTACTAGCACATGCATTTTCTTTCTGTGTACCTTAATTACTATTATTCAGGGTTAAGGGTTAAATAGCTGCTGTGGTCTATGTTTTGCTGAATTTTGATGCTGCTATCTAGTCTTCATCTCTGCAGAAAAGGCTGGTAAAAGTGATTGTTTTTTCTTTTTGGAATAAAATATTCATAAATGCTTAAGAACACTGGTAATAATACTTCCCTCCTGATGCTGTGAAGGGAAAGCTATAAATAAATCATCCTGTGTTTTCAAGAAACAGCAGAAAAGGGGTTGGAGTCGATTTACCTCCAGTGACTTTCTACAAAGCATTTGGGAAAAAATCCTTAAGTCACTAGATGCAGCAATTAAGTCAAATTTCTAGGGGTACTGGCAGGGCAAAGAGGATAGTAACCTATCCCAGAGGTCACTGGGCAAGAGTCTGGGTCCAGCAATCAGGCTAAGCTTCAGCCATAGCGAGATGAGATGGTCATGCCTATGGTGGGACTGCAGGAAAATTAGGAATGGATTCTTTGTCCCAAACTATTTCTTTCATATAGCCTTAAGTTCCACACCTGGAAGATTAGATATATTTATTACTACTTTAAAAATATCAGTTCCTCTGAAAAGGCTAAAGAGTGCTTGATTGGTCCCACCTTGCACAAATACATTTGAGAGTTTCTCCCAAATAGCCCCATTCAGGCAGCTTGGTTTATAATACTGGGTTCTTAAACCTGGCTCCCCACTGGAATCATCGAGGGAGATTATTATTTAAAAACTGATGCATGGGTCGACCTTCAGACACTCTGATTTCTTATGGGGAGTGCCCTGGGCATTGGGATTTTTTAAAAAAATCCCCAAGTAATTCTAATATGCAGCTAAGCCTGAGAATCACAATTTCGTATGGAAGAAAATTGCTCTGGATTGAAATAGGCCTGTTTTAATCCCAGAGTGATGCTTGCTAGCAGTGTGACTTTGGACCAATTTGTTTGTTATTTAACCTCTCCAAGCACTTATTTCCCTCACTATAAAAGGAGAACAAGAATATTGTCCATTCAGAGTTGTTATGAAAGGTAAAACAATGACTCCTATAAAATGTTGGGCAATAATTATGCACTCAAATCTTTCTTTTTTCTTCTACCTGGGAATGTGGATTTTCATGAGCAGAGGAGTGTTTGGCAGTGTAGAGATCTTTGGATAATATGGAGAGAGGAGAAACCTGTGTGGGGCACCAAAAGCCTGGAAATTGAAGGCAGAACACTGGGAGTCTCTTGCTTTCTTTCTCCCCCGTCCACCTCCGTGTGTGTGTGTGTATGTGTGTTTGTGTGTGTGTGTGTGACAATGAGGGGCAAATTACCAAGAGTTGTAAGAGTGGCAAAACAAAGTGGATCATACAGATCCAAAGAGAAATTTGGTTCCTGCTCTCTAGGGCTTTCCATGTCCTAAATTGTCCTTTGTGTCTTTATTCAAGAAAGAATTAAAACTTCACAGCTCAAGGAGTGTCTGGATTCCCAAATCCACAGCTACTGGATAGCCTGCCTTCCTCATTCTAGGTCTATCTGAACTCTCTTGGTTTTCCCGAATACTGACCTGATCTTCAGAAAGAGGGACTGTGTGCACCGGGATGGGCTGCCAGGGTAGGGTGGGATTCCAGATGCTGTGACCCTCTGGGGGAAACAGGGCTGCCAGGTTTGTCATAGCACTCATCAAAGTCCGGTCAACATCTGTGCTTCGAATATAAACCTAGAGTAGGAAAATCGAAGCAGAAGTGAACATAAAGGGAACATGAGGTTTTTTCTGCAGAGCTGCCAAGGTATTAGAGAAAGAACAGGACATCCACAGTGAAATATGACAGACATTGTGGTAACATCAGAATCATAATACTTGTTAAGGAATGAGCAATATTATGATCATGGTACAAAGCAACCTGGTTGGCCAATAGTTGAATTGACAAATGAGATCAAGCCCTTGCTACTTGTCAAGCCAAAGTATTTATTCAAGTGTTTATAAACTCTTGACTCATATTCACAGATTTTTAGTAAGAAAAAGTAGCATAAAGAAGAATATATTTGTAAACAAGATCTCTGACTTGTAAAAGTTTCTCGGAAAACAGGCAAAGCACTTTTATATATGCAGATTTATTTTAATTCTTTCAAAGAACAAAGTTCCCACTCTTGGCTCCCCAACTTGCCTGTTCATGTTTATAGGACTCATTCAAGAATTTTCTGTATCTCTTTCTTATGTACTCTCCAAGTTCATAATGCTGCTCCATGCCCAGCTATAGGAAAGAAAATAAAAGCAAAAATTAATGAAAGTAAGTGCTATGATTCACATGATCATAAAAATTCATTGACTTTTTTCATATATGTGTAGAATGAACAATGGTATGCTTTCACAGTTCCACAATAATGACACATATTTAAATAAAACAAGAGAGCTGTAGTAATCTTTACAGTTCCCTGACTCTCTGAGAAAACTCATTTGTCTTCATTAGCACTTAACATAGAGATTTGCACATAGTAAGTGATTAGTTGATCATTGGGTGATTGATCTAAGTCCATCTCTGGTGTAGTGGGATTCTTGTTGGTAGAGCATTCAAAGAGACCCATTTGGTGGGGGTTTTGTGGAATAAGTTCAACCATCTGATGAGGTTAGGCTTGATGAATCTCAAAGTCTCAAATTCTGTGTGCAAGGGTTTATTATCTGCACAGTGTATTAATTCCTGGTTCATAAAAAATTAGAGCATGTTACTCTAAGTGTGGTCTGTATTCACTTCACTTGAAAGAAATCACTTGATAGAAATCAAATTGATAGAAATCACTTGATAGAAATCAAATTCTTGGGCCCCACCCTTGATCTACTGAACCAGAACCTTTGGGGGTGGAGCACAATAATCTTTTTTAAACAAGCTTCTGATGGACAGTAATCACTAAGATGCATTGCATTAGCTCAGTGGTTCACAACCATTACTGTGCATCAGAAACAAAATTATCTGGCGGTGCATGTTGAAATGCAGATTCCTCAGCATGTCCATCAGAGATTCCAGTTCATTAGTTCCTGAGTGGGGCCCTGACATCTGCATTTTAATAGGTCTCCCAAGTGACTCACATGCTGATAGTAGGCCACCATGCTTTGGAAACCCAGCATTCAAGTTTGCCTTTAATCCAGGGACTTATTAGAGCTCTGGGTGCTGGAGAGGAGGTTGTCACTGTGGTTGCTGCTTGGTCTTGGTCCCACTTGTCATTTACTTGTCACTCTTGTCATTTGCTTGAGCACCTCTATAATCATCTCCCATCTAGGATGGGGATGAGGTGGGAAAAGAATAATGTACCATGACCTGAGTAGCGGAGAAGGAGGTACTTTAGGTCTAATTGTGCTCTAACTTACAGTTTAAATAGTCATCTGCATAAAGCAGTGATTTTCACACTTTAGCATGCACAGAATCACCTGGAGGAGAGGACTCATTAAAACACAGATTCCTGGGCTTTAATTACAAAGTTTATGGTTCACTGGGTATTGGGTGAAGCCAGAGAATTTATATTACTGACAAGTGCCCACATGATGGTGATGCTGCTGGTCCAGGGAGCACACTTTGAAATCACTGATCAGAGAGCTGTCACCTTATGATTATGCAGATTAAAAGTACCTAGACAAGGCTGGTGGAGTGGCTTATGCCTGTAATTCTAGCACTTTGGGAGGCTGAGACGGGAGGATTGCCTGAGCTCAGGAGTTTGAGACCAGTCTGGGCAACATGGCCAAACCCTGTCTCTACTAAAAATACATAAAATTAGCCAGGCATGGTGGTGCTCACCTGTAGTTCCAGCTACTTGGGAGGCTGAGGCATGAGAATCACTTGAACCTGGGAGACGGAGGCTGCAATGAGCTGAGATCAAGCTGCTGCAATGAGCTGAGATCGAGCCACTGTAGTCCAGCCTGCAGGGACAGAGCGAGACTCTATCTCAAAAAAAAAAAAAGTACCTAGACAAGGGTAGGAATCTGAGCCCTAGAACCTTGTCACCTCAAACACGGTCCATGTAGCAGTACCATTGTCATCCTTGGGAGTACATTAGACATGCAGAATCTCAGGTTCCACATCAGACCTGCTGAATATAATCTGCATTTTGAAAAGATTCCCAAGTGATTCACTTGCACATAGAAACTTGAGAAATACTTCCCTAATAGAACAGATTCTTGGATAATCAAGGTTCTTCAGAAGAACTCAGATCCTGCAGCCTAGAAGAATCTTTTTTTTTTTGAGACGGAGTTTCACTGTTGTTACCCAGACTGGAGTGCAATGGCACGATCTCGGCTCACTGCAACATCCGCCTTCTGAGTTCAACAATTCTCCTGCCTCAGCCTCCTGAGTAGCTGGGATTACAGGCATGCACCACCATGCCCAGCTAATTTTTGTAGTTTTAGTAGAGACGGGGTTTCACCTTGTTGATCAGGATGGTCTCAATCTCTTGACCTCGTGATCCACCTGCCTCAGCCTCCCAAAGTGCTGGGATTATAGGCATGAGTCACCGCGCCTTTTGTTTTTAATGGAAAAATATAACAGCAGAACAGGAGTCTATACAGAGCCATAGGTATTAAAAAACAAACCTGAATTTATGTAACCTCTCTCTCATTCAAAGAGACAGAAGATGGGTAAGCTATGGTGAGAAGAGCTCTGACCTGGGAGACAGAAGATGCTGGCCTCAAATAGCCTGTTGGAGTTTTCTTCTCCATGAAATATGTCAGGACAGTAATACTCAGCCTTGGCTACATATTAGAGTGAACTGATCTCCAAAGAGCTTCTAAAAGTCCCAGTGCCCAGGACACTTACTATACCAATTAAATAAGAACCTCCCAGGAAGACATCAATATATTTTTTAAACCTTTCCAGATAATTCCAATGTTTGGGCAGGATTAAGACCCATTAATTTTGGTGACATTCTACCCTAAAGATTCTTTGACATTTTCTTAATACATTTAAACAGGTCAGGGCAGAAGCAATGCGCCTGGCCTTGTGGCTCCAAACAGAAGAATCTTTCAATCTTATAAGCAAAGGGAATAGGGCTTTGGAACAGTGACTCAAGATGGCTTTGCTCCCCAATTCACCTTCTCCTTAGAGATGCTCTTCAGAAAGTCTCCCTGTGTTTATCTGACCACTTATAAGGTCAAATCCCAATATATCCAGCTGACGAGAAATCATATTCTAATATCAGCACTTTGGGGAATCATGTTTCCCAATGCTGTTGATTCAGCTTATTGATTATAATTACCACTTGGTGTTCTTCAGCATTTCTAAGCTCATGTAGTCTTTGTTCATGCACATCTCTTACACTTAAATAAAGTCAGAAGGGTTAAAAAAAAATCAAAACAAACAATCCTATATACATTTCCCCTTGAGACTCATCAACAATCTTTTTTTTTTTGAGATGGAGTTTGCTCTTGTTGCCCAGGCTGGAGTGCAATGATGTAATCTCGGCTCACTGCAATCTCCGCTTACCAAGTTCAAGTGATTCCCCTGCTTCAGGCTCCTGAGTAGCTGGAATTACAGGCACCTGCCACGATGCCTGGCTAATTTTTGTAATTTTAGTAGAGACAGGGTTTCACCATGTTGGCCAGGCTGGTCTGGAACTCCTGACCTCAGGTGATCCACCTGCCTTGGCCTCCCAAAGTGTTGGGATTACAGGCATGAGCCACCACAACTGGCCTCATCAACAATCTTTAGCTAAAAGTCCCACCAACCTGGGTGAGTTGGCCAAATCCTTGTGGCCATGAGGATTCCTTTATGGGGTCAGTGGGAAAGGTGTTGATGGGACTTCGGTCTCCGTGCCGAAACACCTGAAAATAGATGTGAGACAGTGATGTTTTAAACGTCACTTGGGTGTTTTGCTTCTGCTCATTATAATAGATTTTTCTTCCCCCAAATCATTGGCTTTCACCTTTGGCTTCCCATTGTAATCACCTAAGGCATTTTAAAAGATTCTGAGGACTGGCTCTCAACCTTAGTGATTTTTATTTAATTAGTCTGGGATGTGGCCAGGACATCAGGATTTAAAACATCTCCCTGGGTAAATCTCTGGTTAAGAACCACTGTTCTAAGCTCACTAACACTTTCACTGTGCTTCAGGTAACGTTAGAATCAAGATGATCAGCGCTTAGAAGGCAGGTGATACATATATGGAGATCAGTTTGTATATAAATAGGACAGAAAGGAACATAAAGAGTACTGCAGACAAACTCTGATGAGAAGTATTTCTCCCTTAAGTATGATTACAGTAATAATGGTATAACTTTTTTTTTTTGATACCAAGTCTGGTTCTGTTGCCCAGGATGGAGTGCAATGGTGAATCCCAGGTTCAAGTGAATTCTCCCACCTCAGCTTCCCAAGTAGCTGGGACTACAGGTGCACGCCACGATGCCCAGCTAATTTTTATATTTTTAGTAGAGAAGGGGTTTCATCATGTTGGCCAGCCTGGTCTCAAACTCCTAACCTCAGGTGATCTACCTACTTCGGCCTCCTGAAGTGCTGGGATTACAAGTGTGAGCCACCGTGCCCAGCCATTATAACATTTTATACATAACAAAAATAATAGATTTTTAATACCGCTTACAATTTGTGACCATTCTGAGCCAATGATTGGTTTATTTTTTGGAGGTTAGGAGTGAAAGATTGCAGGTAGGGAAGTTAGGAAAGCTAATCTCAATACTTCCATAACATTCTTCTCTATTTGTACCCAGGTCATGCTATTGTGATTGCACATTTCTCTTTGGGAAGAATAGTCTGGACTTTTGAAATCTCGGTGCTTTGATTCTAATATGCTTTCTCAGTAGAATATCAAACCAAACACAAAGCTATCTTATGAGCAAAAGGTAAGGAAAGAAAACACTCAAGAAGTACAAGATGAAATCTACACTGATGTCAGCAAATATTTTTAATATAGAGAAGGCTGCATAACACCTTGATTCATCTGAGATTACCTGTACCTGTCACTTATACTACCTGGCTAAGATGTTCCATTGAAAAGTAAGCCAAGAGCCTGCGCTTCTGAAATTCTGTAAAACAGTTTAATAGACATTGAATAAGAAAACAATGTCAGATTTTAATCATTTTTGAGAAGAAATTCCAAGAAAGTGGGAGATGCTTGGATTGTGTATATAGTATCTGAGGAAAACAGATCTTATGGCCCCCTAAACCAGTGAGAAATTAAAACTCCAGTAGAACAGTCTACAGAAACAGGGGCAATGATGCAATAAATCTTAAGCAATCATTTTGGTCAGGTGAGCAATTACTGTCATGAATGATCCCCTGAAGACAGGAAGAGCAGCTGCATATTTTTTTGTGAGCACCTGCAGTTACTAGTCTCTAGGGGCGACTTGGTCATGATCAGAAATGACTCTGGTTAATCATTGATGCCTCTTTCCACAACTGAAGTACATTTTAGACTTTTTAGATCCTAGGTAAATGTGTCTTTGAATAACTAAAGTTGTTACATGGTTTCAATAAATTACAAACCCCACATTGTTTAGTTTCTAGGACTTTTCAACCTTAGCATTTTTGACATTTGGGGCTGGATAATTCTTTGTTGTGGGGGCTGTCCTGTGCATTGTAGAATGTCTAGCAGCATCCATAGCCTTTACCCACCAGATGCCAGTAGCATTCCCCAGCTGTGACAGCTGAAAAGGGCAAATTTTCTGCCCTTGGGGGCAGAAAATCACCCCAAGTTTAGGGCCACTGAGTTAGCCAAAGAGAAGTCAGATGAGAGACATTGTAATAAAATAATTTACAATGGTTTAACCACAACGGTAACTCCTTAACATTTTTTGAACACTTGCTTTGTTCTGGAAACTGTGCGGGAAACTTTGTTCTAAAATCTAGGCTTCTCATAGAATTAATCTTCTCATTAGTTCCACAAAGCAGTTACTATTATTATTTCCATTTCACAAATGATGACGTTTACCTTAGTTAAGTGACCTGTCTAATCTCACACAGCATGTAAGTGGTAGAGCTGATATTCAAACACAGGCGATTCCTCCAACACCAGCATACTTAACCACCTGTGACAGGTTCACTTCTGTATGGTCACACTCCTCAGTCGCACCAGCTAAATCTGTATGGTCTGGGATCTAACGCTTCTTTGTTAATTCTACTCAATATAGTCTTTTCCTCTAGGATTGGAAGAGGTGTGTGTGTGTGTGTGTGTGTGTGTGTGTGCGCCCGCGTGTGTGCGTGTGTGTGCGCGCGCGCGCTTTCTATCAGAAAAAAACAAAACTTTGATACAGAAACTACCCCGAAGGCACCATGAACTATGTATATTATTGAAAGAACAGAACCGAGGTTATGCAACTAAATGACGGAATAGCCTGAGAGAGAGAAACAAGTGTGGTCACCTTAGCTGAGTGTGTTTTAAAGAGCAGAGAACCGGAACATAATCATGAGTCTTGGGCAAGCTTTCTCACTCTGGCGCATACTCATAAATAATTGTATTCCCCTACATTTCAGTAGGTTTTAAGTGTTTCCTAAGTGTTTAAGTGTTGCTCAAACATGCTATGAACTCTTTGGAAGGGATGTCGCAGAGAAACACTTAATAAACCATTCCTCACCTCTGGGGCTGGAAATCAAAATGTGTGCACACACCTCTCCCCCAGTCAAATGTGAAGCTGGTATTCCTTGAGCTTTTGAAGTTTCAAAATTCAGCTGGAGTCCTTGGACTATGCCAAGGCAATCTTTTAGGAAAAGGTGAAAGATTTATGGGATTTGAAGAGAAACCAGAGTATGCCAAGGCATTCTTTTAAATCTGTGGTAGAGCAATCTTCTTAATTGCTGCTCTATCAATTATTACCTCTGTTCTCAGTCCGGCAATCATATTCTATGAAATCTTTTAAAAACCTAACACACCTTGTTAGCAATTAGGATTATTTGCAGTAGTAGTGGTAACTGTAATAGAAAGACATTTGGCCGGGCGCGGTGGCTCACGCCTGTAATCCCAGCACTTTGGGAGGCTGAGGCGGGTGGATCACGCGGTCGAGAGATTGAGACCATCCTGGGCAACATGGTGAAATCCCGTCTCTACTAAAAATACAAAAAATTAGCTGGGATTTACAGAGTGCCCCCAGAGTAGCTGGGATTACTCTGTAAATCCCAGCTACTCTGGACGCTGAGGCAGGAGAATCGCCTAAACCCAGGAGGTGGAGGTTGCGGTGAGCCCAGATCGCGCCATTGCACTCCAGCCTGGGTAACAAGAGTGAAACTCCGTCTCAAAAAAAAATAGAAAGACATTTAAGATAATAACGATTCCTTACCTTTGCACAACCGTCCATGGTTTGTAGAATTTTCCCCTGCTATCTCTTAATTATTACATCGCCCTGTGAGGACAGGTTGGTACTACTGCTGCGTTGAGAAAGTAAGAAAACGACACAATCGAGAGATCGTGTTACTGTCTAGCTCTCCTAATTCTCGTGATAGTTGGCCCACTGTTTCCCCATTGCACCACAATCACTTCACCCTTTTAAATCACAGATAACTGTTTTAAAAGGACTTTTGGTTTGGTGCCCCCATGAATGACCCTGTTCCACTGAATCTGCTAAACAAATCTGGGACGTGGCTTAGGGTGTGGAAGACCTGGTGAGTACAGTCGAGGCTATATCCAGTCCCTCTCTCCATTCAGCAGTCACATGTGCTTTTATAAAATGTCAATCAGAAGTCACTTAATTGCCTAGAACCCTTGAATGTTCTTTCATTGTATTAAACATTCTTCTGTGGAAAATGTAAAGGGATACAAAAGTGGAGATTTTTATCATGAGCCCACCACTGGCTCCACCAGTTATCAACTTGTATGTGGCTATTCCTGTTTCTTTTATATCTGCATGACTTTTAGACATTATATCATGTTCTGTTGCTCTTTGCATAAACTCAAAGTCCTTACAAGGGGCTCACAAGATCTTACCTGATCTGGCCCCTACTCACCTTGATATCCTCGCCTTGATGTCCTCAGCTTACCCACATGGGCCCCCTGGTATTACATGGAATATATTTAGTTTGCTCAAGTCTCAGGGCCTTTGTTCTTGATGTCGTGTCTGCTTTGAATGCCTCAAGTTTGCTTCTTCTGTCAGCATACACACCACTCACTAATTTCAGGTCTGTCCTGAAAATTTGACCTTTACAGAGAGACATCCCTTGACCATCATTATAACTCTCAGTCAATCTCTAGTGTATCTCACTGTTTTATTTTGAAGAAATATTTCTGATATTTTTTATTTTTTACTAAAACTTTAAAACATCTGGCTCCCCCTCTCCCCGTAAACTCCTTGAAAGCAGAATCCTTGCTGTCACAAGAACTGCTATAACCTCAAAGCAGTGTCTGGAACAATAATAACACACAAAAAAAGCCTGTTTTGATGATTAGGTGAATGTTGGTTTGGGTCTATTTCTTCCAGGTACATTAAAGATTTCTTTCCAATCTTTTCATTTCATGAGGGTTTTGATTGTCATCCTTATTTATCAGCAAGGTATGCTATATGTGCTTTTTTCTTCCTTTCTTTCATCTTCTTGTCTTTCCCGTCTGTCTTAGCCCATTTTCTGTTGCTTTAACAGAATACCTGAGACTGGATAATTTATAAAGGAAAGAGGTTTATTTCACTCACAATACTAGAGGTTGGTTAAGTCCAAGATCAGGCAGTTGCATCTGGTCAGCTTCTGGTGAGGGCCTTGTGATATGTCATAATATCGCAGAAGGCATGACAGGACAAGAAAGGGCACACTAAAAGCCAAACTGGTTTTTATGATAGAGTCTCTGACATGATAACTAACCTACTTCTGTGATAATTTATTAATCCATTAA